GGGGAGGCGCAGCCGCGCCGGGGAGGGATGGAGCAGAAGCGCAAGCCGGGTTCCCTCATCCACCGTTCCCACCGGGAATGATCCTCCTGCAGCGCCCTTCCAGCGTTCCCTACGGTTGCCCCGCCCCATTATACGGAAAGGAGGAGACCTGGAAAGTCAGCCCTTTGGCTCTCAGGCGCGCCTTCAGTTGGGCACGTCCCTGCGCGCGGTCACTCCTGCGCCTTAGACATGCAGGCCTCTGGGGGAGCCCCGCTACTACAGCCTCGGCCCCCACGGGCCGTGTGGGTCCCCTGTGGGCTCGGTTGAAGAAGACACGTCGGGAGGAAGGTGGCCGACTGGGCGAGTGCCCGCTCGGTTTTGGGCCCAGCCCAGGCGGGAGTCTTTGGGCACGTCTTTGGGTGTCAAGGTGCTTCGCTGGCGCCTGGCTACACCTGCTGGCCTCCTGCACTGCCGTGTTTGTGTCTAACCTCCACCGGGAACGGGCACACGTGCGTGTTGTAGTCAGCCAGGGTGATCAGACCCCACCCCTAGAATCTCAGACTGCCCCTCTCCTCCCGCCCCGAGTACCCCAATTTCGTTCTCGGTGTTCTTGCTTTTTCTCTTCCCTGTGCTCTTCCTCCTCTCGTTCCCTCCTCTGACTGAATACCACAGTCCAATGATGATTCTTCCGTCTCTTTCTCCCTGGGACTGACAACTCAACCCCCAGACCTCACTTCCCTCTCCACTCTGCACACCTTCCTCCTGAGTGGAGGACGCTCCTCCCAAAGCCATTGTCCTTGGAGGTTGCCTTGACGGCCCCAAAAAGGAACAAGACAGGAACAAGACAGAGGAAGGCCACATGGAAACACCAGACTTCGGAATTCCAAGTCGTCCCAAGTAGGCAACTGCTCACTTTAAAAATATGGGTGCAGACTGGGAAATACTGCCCCTCCTGGTGTCCCACTGCCAAGCTTGCTAAAGAGAATTCCCTGGCAGTGTCTAGAGCAGGTGCAGGACAGGAGGGCATGACCCTGGCCAGAGTCAAACTGGCAGAGGACCCCCCAGGCAGGTGCACCTGGGGCCTGCTGATGTTTGCTCGGCTATGGGGAATGAAACCTTCACTTTCCGTGTAAACTTTTGTTTTATTATGAAAATGTTCAAACTTACGCAAAAGTCTGAGCATGCAGTGTCCCACCCGTGTATGCATCACCTGGTGTCTGCAATACTCAGCCTGGCTCCTCCGGTCTCTCCCACCCTCCACACCAACTCTTAGTTTCTTGTTAGTGTATATGCATAGGTGTGTATACACAGGTGTGTATGTTTAGGTGTGGATGCACAGGTGTGTATGTACACGTGTGTATGCATAGGTGTGTATACATGGGGGTGTTTGCATACGTCTGTATGTATAGGCGTGTATATACAAGTATGTATGTACAGATGTGTGTGTACAAGCATGTATGTACAGGTGTGTATGTATAGGTGGGTATAAACAAGTATGTATATACAGGTGTGTATGTACCCATGTGTATGTGTAGGGGTGTATCAATGGGGTGTATGTGTAGGCCTGTATGTATAGGTGTGTATACACAGGTGTGCATTCACAGGTGTGTACGCATAGGTCTACATGTATAGATGTAGAGCCTTGTTCTCTACAAAGCCTGGGGTAGTGAGTTTGCAGGCTGAGTCTGCAGCCAGACAGCCCTGCAGGCTGAGAGGGTGGTGCGGGTGGAGGTGGTGGGTGGAGCAGGGTGTCCCACAAGTGTATATGCACAGGTATGTATGTACAGGTGTGTATGCACAGGTGTGTATGCACAGGTGTGTATGTATAGATGTGTATGCAGAGGTATGTATGTACAGGTGTGTATATACAGGCATGTATGTCTAGGTGTGAACATATAGGTGTGTATGTTTGCCGTGTATGTATTGGTGTATATGTATAGGTATGTATGCATAGATATGTATATACTTGTGTGTATGTACAGGCATGTACCTAGGTGTGAATGTATAGGTGTGTATGTATAGGTATGTATGCACAGATATGTATGTACATGTATGTGTGTACAGGCATGTTTGCCTAGGTGTGAACATATAGGTGTGTGTGTTTGGTGTGTGTGTATAGGTATGTATGCATAGATATGTATATACATGTGTGTATGTACAGGCATGTATACCTAGGTGTGAACATGTAGGTGTGTATGTATAGGTATGTATGCACAGGTATGTATGTACATGTATGTGTGTACAGGCATGTATGCCTAGGTGTGAACGTATAGGTGTGTATGTTTGGTGTGTATGTATAGGTATGTATGCATAGATATGTATATACATGTGTGTATGTACAGGCATGTATACCTAGGTGTGAATGTATAGGTGTGTATGTATAGGTATGTATGCACAGATATGTATGTACATGTATGTGTGTACAGGCATGTATGCCTAGGTGTGAACGTATAGGTGTGTATGTTTGGTGTGTATGTATAGGTATGTATGCATAGATATGTATATACATGTGTGTATGTACAGGCATGTATACCTAGGTGTGAATGTATAGGTGTGTATGTATAGGTATGTATGCACAGATATGTATGTACATGTATGTGTGTACAGGCATGTATGCCTAGGTGTGAACGTATAGGTGTGTATATTTGGTGTGTATGTGTAGGTATGTATGCATAGATATGTATGTACATGTGTGTAGAGGCATGTATGCCTAGGTGTGAACATATAGGTGTGTATGTTTGCCGCGTATGTATAGGTGTGTATGCATAGATATGTATGTATGGGTGTGTATATACAGCCATGTATGCCTAAGTGGGAATGTATAGGTGTGTATGTATAGGCATGTACATATAGGTGTGTGTATATATACATATGTACACATACATATTTATAAGAGAGTGAGAGAGATGGGGGAAGGAAGGAGAGAGATTTTCTCTGTGTGTGTGCTCACTAGAGAGGAACAGAGAGAGGAAAAGTCGTGAAAAAGCACCTTCCACGGGGGATAGTCATGCCAATCCCTTCTCCTCCATCCTTTCCTCCTCTCGGGGTCTTGGGCACACACGCACATGCACCCGATGTGAGTTTTAGCCAATGGGTCCAGGACTCCAACCGTAGTCGACTACATGGAAGCCCAACGACACAGCCATTACGCCAATCACTGGTCCCATCTCTGGAAAATTCTTAATTCCCCATTTTCAGTGGCTTTGTAACAGGTCCCATTTTCTTCTTCCCACTCTCCCCTATTTATAGGTTTCACATTTTTGGCAGGTTTGCTGCAGAACATGCAGAGATTGCAAAGAGAAATGTTATGCTCAGGAGGTCTGTGGGGCCTGCTCTCCACTCAGCACAGACTCTTCCTGGTCCGACCTGTGGAGCTAATGCAGCGGGGTCCCACAGAGAGCCCTTGTTCTCCACGAAGGCTGGGGTAGTGAGTCTGCAGGCTGAGTCTGCAGCCAGACAGTCCTGCAGGCTGAGAGGGTGGTGCGGGTGGAGGTGGCGGGTGGAGCAGGGTGTCCCACAAGTGTATATGCACAGGTATGTATGTACAGGTGTGTATGCACAGGTGTGTATGCGTGTCCCTACAGGCGTTACTCCAGCTTAGAAGACTCGCAGTGAACCTTGGGGGCACTTCAGCATCCGTGTAAGCCACAGGGACTGAAGCTGGGGGTTCAACCCATGAACACTTCCCATTCCAATCAGAAGATAGATCAATGGTAGGAAGTACCAACTGCTGCCTCACCTCTTCAATCAGCTAGTGACTATTGTGGTTGTATTGATAACAATTCTTTGCAGGCGGAAATGTACTCAAGGCCCCGAACCTTCTTCCAGGAAGACACTTGCCTGCTAAGTCAGCTTAGTGAAGCCCCTGCCCTCCACATGTCACCCTCGGTGTCTAGTCAGGTTCCTCATCCTCCACGCCCCAAGGAGTGTCTGGTCACCGGGCCTGTCTTTCGCAAGAATGCCATTAGGTTGGTTCAGCCAGAATCTCCTTCAGCCCCGTCTCCTCTTAGCGAAATCCCATCTTCTGACTCCACCTGCTCCCTGACTACCAAGGCCCATCCGCCCACGAGGCAGTCACAGCTAAGCACAAACGCTCTCCTTGCCTGCAAGGCCCCGCTGCAGTGCCCCTGTCCTGCTGTGACTTGCTGGCTAAGTCCAGATGTTCCTTCTCCTAGTCAAGGAAACAGGAGGCAGAGGCTGGGGGAGAAGGGAGCTCATTCCTGTAACTGGTTACAGGGAGACAGGCAGTGAGCCCATCAAACTGTCTCGAGATGTGCACCACGTTGTCAGTGTCTACAGGCATACAGCAGGTGCAGATCGTTCTTCACCACAATCAGTCGGAGTCCTCACCCTCCCCTGAGTCATTATCCTGGTTATCCCTCACCACTCCAGGGTCTCCTCTGCCCACTCCTCAGAGCTCCCCATGACTCAGTGCTGGGGCAGACGCCTCTCCTTA